AATTGTAGAACATCTTCCTTGAAATAGTGTATACACTTAAAAGTACTCGACGTAATTTTCTAGAATTTAAATGTTTTTTAAAAAAAGAACTTACTGCTATTATACGAAGGTATATAATGGTATGCCATTAATTTATAAATAAACATAAATAATACTTATCATGTAAGTCTTAATCAGTTAAAGATTTTACCCCGACCAGTCAGCAGCGTTGTACAATTTGCATACATTACGTAATAATCTTCTTGATCTAGCTTCTGTAAAGGGGAATAGCCAGATAATGGCAATTAATTTATGCGTGTAGAACCATAGACTATACTAAGTACGCATTATCTATGGTTTACCATATTCTGCCAATGTACGAATATAAAAAATACTAGTTTTTGCCCGCGACTTCGTCCGCGTTAATTTCGTCATTAGTAATATAGGTATAGCTGACCGGCCAAACTCTATTCCGTCTTCAATAACCCGGTATTGGTATTTATTAAATTTCTACTGTTTCAATCGAACAGAATGATTGACATATTAGTTAGTTGTCAAGTCTAATGTCAAAAAATCGTTTGTATGGGAAATAGAAAAGGGCTGTTTTTAATGTTTTCCCGGCAATTTTACCTATTTTTCTCACCTTTTAAACCTTTCCTGGACTTCCAGGAGTATTTCAAGACTAAAATTAGCCAAGTCAGTTCAGCCGTTCTCGAGTTTTAGCGAGACTAAGGAACAGCAATAAATTTTTATATATATAGAAGATTATAATTTTCTTCAGCATATATAGTATCAAACACAAGTATATAAGAAATAAATAGTTTTCTTTTAATTAATTCTTAATTAAAACATAGTAACCGTAATAGCTTCTTCTGCGAGGGCGATCATTACTGTTGAAGATCCGTTAAAACAGACAAACAACAACAACTAGTTCTAATTAAAGAAAAACTAGTAAAGACATCCTATAACAATAATTAATACAGATATCAATAAAAATATTGTTTTTGTTGCAATTAATCTACAAATATTATATATTATTCGAAATAATATGAAAATAGTGTGATTTATCTTAGAACATTTCAACAGATTAAAAAAATACTGTTGAAAAGATTATAATTGCCAGAATAAAGACTTTTTTCAATTAATGTTAATTGTTAGTACAAAATACTTAAAACCTAAATGAAACGCGGCTTCATCACGTGTTTAATGTGTTTTTCAATAATTTCTATATTGTATGAGAATTTTTAATTATTTTATTATATTTAAATCACGAATTTGAAATGTACATATATGACATAGGCTTCCCCGAAATAAATCAATGTTAAGAATATAAAAATATCAAAATATTATTATCATTTATTATTTTTATTTAAAAGAATATATATTTTTTTCGTTATATCATACCTTTAACACTGTAATGCTTCATATTATGTTTTTAATCTCAAAAATAACATTGAAGGCTTGAATTCCAGTCATTTAAGTCAACATAATAATAATGTCTAACTAGTTTCCCCTTTTATAAAGTATGGTAATTTCTGCTCAACAATTCTTACCATTTCAATTCTTCTCACGCACGCACAATTTAAACAAGAAATTGGAAAAACGTATAAGTAAAACTTATAATTGAAATAAATCTGCATAATTGTTATAAATTCATTGTAAATAAAACATTTTTATTATTGCTATATTTTTAATTTAAACATAAAATAAAGTACATAACACAATGCTATAAGTAATTTTTAGAAATTTATTCTTGACGTAATATCTATGATCAAAATTACCTCTCTTATCTTAGATTCATAATTAAAACTCGAAATGTTTGTGATGCCATATATGTATATATCGCTATTTATTCCAATTTTATATAGGTATATAAAAATGATATAAATTACATAAAAAATAATAATAATATTCAAGCAAATATGTAAGAAGAATAAATTTTACATAATAACTTACATATTATATAATACTTCTCAAATAAAAGCTAAAGTTTAAAATATAATTAAGATTTGTTTATTAGTAACTGTATTTTCATCACCGTCAGCTGATTCAGATGTCATACTTAATATATGGCTATAAATTTAAATGTACGTGTTTCAATACTGTAAAGCTTCATACATTAAACAGTCCTGTTGTTTCTTACACACAGACAAAAACTTTTAGTCATTAATTATATTTTCAATAATATTTAACTCAGTGTGTCCCGTCCTTATGGTAGTGAAGTTTTTGATGTAGTAGTCATATTTATTATATAACAGTAAATACCGTTCATTAAGACTAACCTCAAGCATTCTATTATTTAAAGACCACAGTTATGTCTTTATTTTCATCACCGCAAAATCTTGTGCCGTTAATTTATATTGTCTATGACTTATGTTATGACAGTTTTTTTTTTAATTTCGATTCCAGTTGTACACTCAAGTCTTTGTCATTGAGCCATAAAGTTTTACAGAAATTCAACTTAATATATCCAAATAAAAAAAATGAAAATTACGTTCAACAGACACTGATAATAAGATATATTATTTAAAATATTATATAATTTAATACATAATAAGTTGTTTAACTATTGAGAGTTACTTTAAATAATTATATAAGTAATGGTTTTACTAGTATGTGATAAATATGTAGTAACCGTAATACACTATGAGTGGAGTTAATGGTAATAAAACATAGAAGTCAAGAAATAAGTTATTTTACAGTATTATCATATGTTTTAACAACAATTATAATAAGGCCGGAAACACATGATGACTGTAACATTTTTTTCACAGTAAACACCATTATTACTAGTGTATCCGCTGTCTTATTTATTTTTCCCACTACGTTATTATTCAAAATGAAGTTGTAGTTTTTGTGGTCTCACTTCCGAATGCCTTATTAGTGTTGCTCGTTCTAATGGTAGTCAAATGGGTTCTTTTTATTCGTTGTAATATTTCTTTTTTAAACATTCTAAGCTCTACTGTGATTTTGGTTCACTAGTGTTTTTGTAACTTTTGTCTGTGACCTAAAATCCGTTGTAAGATATTTACCACCATATTCGAGTTTTTGTTTCGTTTTAATGGTATACTATTATGTTTATTGTCTCATTTCAAAGCTTTACAAGGAAAGAACATTATTGTATGTAAGACTTGGTTTGAAATTTGAATACGAATATCGATATTTGGTTACCGAAATCACGATTTAAAGGATACCTTTTATAAAAGAATCAAATAACCTTAATGCCTGAGAGGTAAACGATTTTCGTCGCGAGATCTTTTGGATTTATTTGAATATATTACGAGTATTTGCAAACTTTATATATCTATTATGGTAAAAATATATGTATAAAAAAACACAATTATATAATAACAAAATAATCATATAATAAATTTTACCTATTATATATAATATTTCTAGATCTTTCTTGAATTTTTATTTCACTTGATTTATATATTATTATATCCAAATAATTTATGAATAAAAATATTTATAATAATTAATAAATTAATCAATGTAATTAATATTTTTTCACTAGTTCCGGAGTTATACGATCAAACAATCACTGTACCGTATTTTTGTTATATATTAATAAATTTTATTTAAATGATTACTTGCATAAGTCTTAGATTTCCTCAATTATAAAATGTTGTTGGTAATAAGTTAAATTTTATATGAAAAATATTCTTTAAATACGCTAATTTTGAAATCTACAATTATTGTATTGAAATCATATACAAATACGAACTTTTAAGCAGCATTTGTAAAAAACACACACATTTAAGAGTTTTTCTTTGCTCATATTTGCAAATTTGATTACAACATAAAGCTTTAAATAAATATGTTTTAATAATAAAAATGTTCATTCTAAAGGAAATTCTAAATAAGTACATATCTAAGCTTTTTGTTTTATTTAAAAAGATTGCTGAGATATCTTATTTACGTACAGGCTTAACCGATATCATACTGAGTTTTACAACGAATAATGTAATAATAAATTATTATAAGGACAAATTTGAAGGATTTAATAAAACAAATTATGTTTATTGTACCTTACAATTTAACTTTATGAAGCATATTGGTTAACTTTTCCCTTTTTTAGCCTTCAAAGTCTCAATTTCGACCTAGCTCCGTGTGTAACAAGATTCATGCATTATAGATTTGCGAAGGACAATTTCCTTGGACGTTAGTATACGGAACCATTCTGACACGATTCCTATTGAAACTGTGTTGACTTGACATCACCGTTACACAATATTAGATTTATGAAAGATAAAATTTATACCACTTTGAATACTATAGATAAAAGCATATACATACATATATATATAAAAAATTTTCTTCAATTCACTTTTTTATTTATATTAGACCTGATTCTATTAAATTTTATGTAAGAACAATTGATAGTAAGTACTTTTTAAATGTCTTCATAATTTTATTTCCCTCCAAAAATGACTAAACTAAAACCTCTTTTTACATTGTTATCGATTCCCATAATTTTATTTTCGTAATGTTTAAGTCAATTTAAGTATAATATAATAAATACATACCTAATCTTTAATGTGTAATTTTTTTAACACTTTTATTCTTTTAAAAACATCACAAAATTAGTATATAAAAATATTTATCAATAATTCTATGAGAATATGTGTTCAAATCTCCAATAAGATCAAATTCACATCCATATTTGATATCAGTGACCGAAAAAGGTATTTTTTCTTCGCAATAGTACCTATCCATAAATAGTGATGTTCCACACGGATGCAAATTATCGGTTTTCGATAGACATGAATTAGGCAGCTAATTTGTAATGCATTATGTATGGATTCCTCTATAGCTATCATTATTGGTAATTACGTCTGTGGCTAATTTTCATCGAACATAGCCTTTGTGGGCTTTGAGTGGTATAATAATGTGTGTTTTTTGATTCTTACTTTGATTTGTTATATCTTTTGATTTGCTTTGACTATACAAGCTACAACTGTTCTTCTAAAGTAGTATATTAATGTAGTTCTTATATGAAAAGTTGTTTTTTGTTTCAGAGATTCAGACCGATCGTTTCGAACACGCTTACGCATCAGCTCAAGAATACAAAGAAGCCTTGGAGGCTATACGGAGAAACACAGGAGCGGTGAGTTTATTATAATAATTATAGAGTAGTAGACAAATCAACTGTAAATGAGATATATAACTTAAAAGTATTGACAAGATATTTCATTTCAATCAATGACAATGCATAAATTTATGGAAAATTATTTCAAAACCGTAAAAAAATTATGAATTGATGGAAGATTTATATAAACTACTGTTTGAAAATTATACTCAAAAATATTCAAATAATACAAAGACGAATGAATAAAACTATCATAGTAATTAAATAAAAAAAAACAAATCACTAAAAAGTTTTTATATGACACAAAATATTCTTTTAATAGGAACGTAGTAGACCGCAGCGTACTTTAGAAGAGACGAATAGATCGGACGAAGACCTGGATGTACCAGAAGAAGTGATACCAGAAGCCTGGGAACTGAATAATACGGCGAAAGCTGATATAGAACTGTTATTCTTTAATAGAGTGCCAAAAGTCGGCAGTCAGACATTCATGGAACTATTAAGAAGACTCGCTATAAAGAATCAGTTTGGTAAATATACGAGAAAAATTAATTTACTTATATTAAATACTGAATAAATCAAAATATATTAATATAAAAATAATTTTAGAACTTTCTACCATACCAAGTTTTTTTTTAAATAACGGATAATGCAACGGAATATGAATATTCATAGAAACTTAATGAACAAGGCCACTAAAACATAAACAGTAACAAAAGTATTAAAATTTAAACTAGCTTTTCCAGTGAGATTAGAATTTAAAATTTTTATTCAGTACAATACAAGCTTAATAAATGCAAATTCGTAAAAACCTCGTTTAAATGCAGATTTCAAATGCTCTTCATAATAATATCAAAAGTAATATTATTTTATTTACACACACATACAAACACACACACACACACACACACACACACACACACACACACACACACATATACATATATATTGTCCCCATTACCAGATATATTTATTTTTTATAACAACCTTATCGGAACTTAAGTGGATATCGAACTTTTCCTCAAGTACCTACTACTAAGATTTACATTCACACAAAAGAAATCACTTATTAACTCGAATTAATAAAACTGGTAAGGGACAATATATTTTATATTTTAATGTTGGTAACTTGGTACTATGGACTCTCATACCATAATAAAATTCCAATTACAATAAAATTATATGTATGGCTATTATGTTAGTTATATATTGTAAAATTTGTTTAATATATTGTAAATAAACACTATTTAATTTATTAGATATATGTGATTTAGACGCAGATAATTTTCAATATATTTCAGCTATTTTAAATCACTCTATTTATGTTTAAGCAGGAATGAATAAACTCATTTCAGTTGAATCTTTACACACGACAGTCTTCATTTAAATCGATGCTTCCGTCATAAAACTAATAACGCATTAAAGTTCTGCAGTAATTAATCAATCTGGACCTTTAATGCTTGATTTAATTAAATTTATAGTTCGTCATCAGCCTATCAGAGCCCACTGCTGAGCAAATCTTCTCACATGGAGAAGGTTTGAATATTAATCACCACGCTTGCTCAAGACGGGTTGGTGATTTCAAACTTGTAATTGTGAAATTATTAGTCCAGGTTTCTTCACGATGTTTTCCATCACCGTCTTTCAGTGGTGTCTAAATACTCTCAGAAAGTACATATGACTTGGAAAAATCATATTGCCAGGATCGAACCCGCCCCTCGTGCATGAGAAACGAGACTTTAACCACTACGCCACCACTGACTATGTAATTTATAGTTGAATGTAACTTATAAGCTATTTTCATACAGGTTTCCACCGTGATTCTGTTCAGCGTGTTGAGACTATTCGCCTAGCTCCTGCTAACCAGCAAGTCCTAGCAAGTGTAGTGACGTCACACGCTCCGCCTGCCTCCTACATTAAACACGTCTGCTATACTAACTTTACCAGGTTGGTAACATGATTACTATATACTTTTTATATCACACTCTTCTTCTTCCTGGCAACTTCCCAGCTTTAGCCAGGGTCTGCCTCTTGATATCACACTATTATGCGGTAATATTATAAGCAATTTTAAGAAAAAAACGCTAGATATATCGAAAAATGAATGGAATTTAAAAAACCTGAAGTCAACGTATTTTATAAATTTGATCTAAAACTTTCGATATTATTCATTTAAATGAAACTATTATTTTTACTCTAAATAATCCGAAAAAATATTATAATTTCAACCAATGTTATACATATCTTTGAATAATTAGAGTAGAAAAATATTGTGCTACATACAACTTGAGTCAGATGAACGCATTATACGCTCTCTCTTTCACAAATCGTGATACAGGACCACTTGATTACATATAAAAAACTTAATTTGTAACATCCATCATAATATTTACTCCGCAAGCCTTAGAATAGTTCATTATACTAGTTTTTATGAAGCGTGATTTATTATTTAAAAAAAGTATATAATTCGGTTATATCTTTTACGTATATTTTTATTTCTTTATGTTAGAATAAAATCAGATGACGGTGTACTCTCCTTTTTCATACTTTTTATTTTCTAAAAGTAACTCTGTCTCTCTGTTACGCTTTTACGCCTAACCCACTAAACTGATTTTAATGAAATTTGGTATAGTGATAGAGTTGACCTTGAGAAAGAACATAGGATAGTTTTTATCCCAGACTTTTGAAAGGTTCTCTTGGAAATGCGATATATATCCGCCTTTTTGTTTGTTTTTTCTATTATGTTATTTTCTGTTTGTTGTTTTAGTGCAATAAAGGATATATATATACAGGGTGACTGGTGAATTACTATCGATATTTGAGGACGTGATATTTGACGATCATATATGACAAAATAAAAATTAATATAACATAAATATTAATAAACTTCTAAGTAAAGTTAACCAAAAGTTATGTAATTAATTACGCATCGTGTGAACACCCTACAGATTAGGTATACACACACACACACACACGCGTGTCGTGACGTGGTGTTGTATCAGCACGCCGCCGCACGCGTCCACACTTGAACACTTGGAACGTGTCAACACTTTACTTATTTATACGGAAATTTTGTCAAAAATTAAGTGCCTATTTTTTTTACATAATTCGAATGAGAATCATGTACCGAGTATTCTCCTTAAATATTGATAGTAATTCACCAGTCACCCTGTATATAACCGAACTTCACGCGGGCGAAGCTGCGGGCGGAAAGCTAGTTTTATATATATATTTTTACTTATATTTGAATCACATTTCTGATTATCATTAATAAATATGTACAATTTGAACGTAAGGTCTTTTCGTCAAATGATCTTTGAAACAGTAAAAGCGATTTAAGTGACAATTTTCCTCAATGAATAGGTAACTCTCAAAGAAATTTTAATTAAAAACATATCTATTATTAATTATAAAAAAAAACATATACATAATATGTATAAATTTATAAGTAACGATCAATAATTAAGTAAATAACCACTTGAAAACTTATGATTAAGAAATTAATGAGGTTCATATTATAAATATAAAACAACAATATGAAAGTACAGACGCAGACAAGATTAACTGCTCTATAAAAAATTTAACAGTATTGAAAATCATATTTAATTAATAAGTATTAACTTTAAAAAAGCATCTATATAAAAAAATATATTGAAAAGAATTCACTCATTAAACATCAAATGAAAGAATTCTCTAATTCGTTATTAAATTTCAATTTAAAGTTAATTTGGTATATAATATAAAGAAAAGCTATTATAAAAGAACAGCCATAATGAATGATATTTTATAACTAGTAACTAGGTATATAAAAATTTTATGTGTCTTGTTAAAATGAGAATTAAGTATTTTTATGATGCAATTTGTTATACATACATATGGTTGAACAAATTAAATAGAAAGTTTTTTGTAAATGTACATATATTTTTAAGATTGCATTTAACTTCAATAACTTTATATGCATATAAATCGATAATAATATTATTTTCGAAAGAAAAAATTAACTTTCAAATTACGTATGCCTTATGAAAACTGACGTTTGTGTAGTGCATGTTTTATATATTATTACTAGCTGACCTGGCGAACTTCGTATCGCCCTATATTCAAGAAATATCTGTTACGTTTTTTTATTTATATTTTTGGAGTTTACCTGTAAGCCATAAATCTCCGTGTTTTGAAGTGCGACAGAATGATTGACATATTAGTTAGTTGTCAAATCTAATGTCAAAAAAAACGTTTGTATGGGAAATAGAAAAGGTCTGTTTTAATTTTTTCAGCTTTTATACCTTCCCTGAACCTCCACGAACATTTCAAGACTAAGATAAGATAAATCCGTTCAGCTGTTCTAGAGTTTTAGCGAGACTAAGGAACAGCAATCCATTTTTATATATATAGATAGATAGAAGAAGAAGATAGAAGATATGTTTTATTTTCCCACTAAATATAATACCTAAACTTAATAAATAACAACTCATTTTTCTCCAGATTCGGTTATCCATCTCCGATATACGTGAACGTAGTCCGTGATCCCGTAGAACGCGTCATATCATGGTACTACTACGTGCGCGCCCCCTGGTACTACGTGGAAAGGAAACAAGCCTTCCCTGATCTTCCACTGCCGGATCCAGCCTGGTTAAAGAAGGTACCTATTTAATTCATCATATTTCTTCCATAGAAAACTATTTGAAACGATGGAGTATTAATAAGATTTGATAATTATTTTTGGTCAACTTAGATATACATATAAATTATAAAGTAATCTATAGATTACGTACTTTAGAACAAAGTTTAATCTATTTTTTTACTATTAAGAAATTTATATAAAGTATAAGAATTCCCGAATGAAAAAAAACATTTATTTCATTTGTATTTGCATTAACACGTATGACGTATCTCCAAGCGAAAGAATTTTCTAGATTTCTAAGAATTTCGCAAGATCAAAGAACATTAATTCATTCATTCACCTGTTACAGAAATTCGCTTACTTTCTTATCAAACTTCCAAACATCGTATTCTTTATATTGGTATATAATTAAACATTATAAATATATAATTACCAATATAATGCTCGTTATTTCTCTCACGCTGTGAAGCTCGCTGTCACAATGAACAGACCACACTCCATAGATAATAGACGAATGATTTATCACGTACTAAAGAAAATTTTACACTTGACATTGCACCTAACTTCTTATAAATCGGAGTTCCTTGTACATAATTTGATGAACTAATACATTTAAACTGCTATTAAGGATAAACAAAATACATTTAAATGATAAAAAATGTTTAATATTAGTGAGTATATTGTATTTAATCAAATAATGTTCAGAAGTTAGATAGAAAAGAGTTTTAGTGTATACTAAAAATAAATATATTAAACTATATACATACTCATAACATATTTAATTTTAGATCATTATAGTTTTATATGTATTAATGACTGTTTTTGTTAAAATAAAGAGAAAAAAAATCCCTATTAATATTATAAATGCGATAGTAACTCTGTCTGTGTGTGTGTTTGTCTGTTAGGCTTTCACTCCTAAAACACTGAACTGATTTTAATGAAATTTGGTACAGAGGTAGAGTTGACCTTGAGAAAGAACATAGAATAGTTTTTATCCCAGAATATTGAAAGGTTCTCTTGAAAACGCGATATAACCGAACTCCACGCGGGCGAAGCAGCGGGCGGAAAGCTAGTGTTTTATAAAAACTTTCAAAACTCAACCGAGTATATTAAATTAAAGATACTAAAACCCAATCATAAAAATAGGAGCATACGAATAAATGTACATTAAAAAATAAAAACCATACATTTATCGTCAGGAAAGTAATAACATATGTAATAAAAAATACGAGTACATGAGAATTATTAATACAATTTAAATTATAGATCCACCTTTTTACCGACTCGAGGGCAGCGACCCTTACTCAACTTTTTATCAAATAAAAAACCCGGGAGGATATTTTAATTTTCAACGACAAATTGGTTTTATTGATCGCGTAATGCCAGAAAAAAATGTTGACCACAACCAGTATAAGCGGCATGTCCTTTTTATGATTATAATTAATTTTTTAATTGGCATTACATAATGCCATGTCATTTGGTATTTTGCAATCAAATAACTGTCATTTACAAGGACGTTTAAGATCGTTTTCATGTTTTCATTGACACATTAGTGAGGAAGAGAAATCGATTAGTATGATCTCATAGTCATATTAAATAATGAAACTTTAGATACAAATGATTAATTTTCTAACAGACTGCAAATATTTATTATAACAATGATGACTATATTAACTTTTAAATTATCTTTGTACAATTTTGAAACAAAAAAACTATTTTTTTCCTATTAATTATTCCCCTTTTGCCGAACAAAGTGTTCATATCAACTTTTTAAATGGATTCACACAAAAAATAAATTAGTTTTGGTCGAACAAAAACTATTGTACTAATTAGGGCTTAAAAAGTCCACTCATAGTCTACCATTAGGGGGTAACGTCCTAACGTAAGCAGATCTAAAAGACATGCCCAATTAAAAAAAAAAGGACGACGTATGTATTAACATGCAAAAAATATATTAATTTTGAGTCTTACAAACTAATGGAATACATATATTTTTTATAATTATTATAGAAAAGTATTTTTTTTAATGTTCTATCTTGAATCAATTGAAGTCTTTTATTTATAAATCTTAATATTACATATACTTAAGTTTAGCAATGTAAATGTCTTTGATTTTCATAATTTACTCAAAGAGTTTTTAATTAAGAGGAAAAAATAGTTTTTACACTAGTTATATCCACTTAATTCACTTGGATTTTAATGTTAATATATCAGTACCACTTACTCCAGGAGATTTGTCTTAACCACGCACAATTTGTACATTCCGATAACCTGTTTCTGAGCTAGAAATGTACACTCACGATACATACCTACATACAATAAGAACATTAGCCTTCTTTTTTGCGTGGACACAATAGGTTAAAAACATTGCAAAAGTAACATCAATACAAAAATTATTCGGATATCGATTTAAAATTATTTCAAGAAATAAAATTTATAAAAATATTTTGTTCACAATATATTAAACAAAAATCCTCTTATGATTTGAACAGTTAAATTGTTATTAGTCTTAAAAAATACTGAATTACTTACTACTAGATAACTTAATACTGTCACATTCAACTTTTGACACAATATTAATAAAAGCTCGAAGATAGTTCACCAATTATCAAACTTCAAATTGTCATGATAAAAATAAAAGAGGTGTTCCATAATATTAAACAAAAATTTATTAAATATTGACCATAAAACTAAATATTTATTTGATATACTAAAACTTTAACATTATATTTATTTAATGAACATAATATTGTACCGATCTCTTGTGTCGTAAAGCTACTATTATTTTTCTATCATTCGTGTCCTAACTCCATATTTAACTGATCCTCATCTCACAAACAAAGAAACAAAGGATCTATAAAAACTAGCTCCACTAACCCAATTACATTACAATGTTCTATAATGAACCTAACAGAACAAATTGAATGATTTATTTGACCCCAACACGCTCACTTAACGTTTGCGTGTGACTCAGTTTTTGTTTATAGTAAGAGTAAAGTAATTACATCCCATGTTAGTAAACGGTTTCTAAAGAAATTATTTATTCTAAAATTAAATATATTCAGTAGCTTTCTTCTTTTTCCTGGCAATTTCCCAGCTTTAGCCAGGGTTTGACTTACATGTTGTGAATAGTTTTGGCTATTTGTTTTTACGACCGGCCGCCTGCCTGACATCAACCCTCTTTGGGAATGCAATTAATCAGTGATGTCTAAATACTCTTAGAAAGTACCTATGACTCGGAAAAATCACATTGGTAGGTGCCAGGATCGAACTCGCTCAGTAGTGTTAGCTAGCGTATTAACTTAATACTATCGGTTTCAAAGTTATGAAAATCATTTATTTGTTCCTTTAATTTGATGATAGCAGTTCATACTAAGGTTAATATGAATAATAAGTCAGTTTTAGCGTTAATTTTAACGTACTTCATTCATAAATTGGCTAGATCTAAAAATACCAGTTAAACTGTGAATAAAAGTAATAAAGATTAAAAAGTATTTACCTCGTACTTGATAAAACATATCTACAAAACAAATAATTTGACATAATTCAGGATTTAATTATATTCATAACATTTAACTATATTGATTTAAAGCAATGACATCTTTTTCTTTCTGCTATATAAAACATAATAAATACACAAACTCCAAACTTTAAATAAATACAGCATTTATAGACTTTCGAGAGTATTCATTTAAATGAAACTAATATTCTTGGATTACTAAACGTATTTTATTATTTTAAAAGTTTCGGTTATTTTTCATCAACCGTGATCACAGTTAAAATATTTTAAACTAATAATTTGTTGCAGGATTTTGAGACGTGCGTGTTAAGCGGCGATCGAGAGTGTCGTTATTTGGAAGGAGAGACTCACGAGGGTATTGGAGATCATCGGAGACAGACGCTGTTCTTCTGTGGACACGAGCCACAGTGCACGTGAGTATTGTGTTATTATAGAATTTTAAGGTTTAAATTCTTAGATTAGAATACTATGTATATAGAATAACAATACAAAATTTAAGTATTAAAGATATAAAAAGAAAAACAAAAAGATAACTTCCAAAAAAGGAAGTGTCAAATTCTCAATTTACTATTACATATACGTAAATTCAATAAATAGGCAGACCCTGGCTATGGCCGGGAAAATGCCAGGTAGAAGAAAAAGATATTAATTCAATATAAGTTACATATAAATGAAATAATTATATCATTGTAACACTATCAGCGTAATATCCATTATTATATTCTCTGTGTTATCAGTAAATCTAGCCAAATGTTATCTAAGTGCCGTATTAAATCCAAAGTGCCAACACATTGATGTTGTCATATAAATCTCATACAAGATTTATTACTGGTTACACACGGCCATTGATCGCTGTCTCCTCTCGTTACAAGTAATTGTTGACACGGGCTTGCTTTATGACCGATGATTGCTTCATGAATTGTAGATAAGGCATCATGTGAAGCTCAACCAACTAATATATACGAAGTTTTATATCCCACGCTAATTGAGAGCTTTATTACGAGTACAAGGTTGTTGGTGTTTCAAGAAAAAAAATATGTTTGTCTATATAGAGATAAACGTAATTTGAATGTGGAAATCAACCAAGAAAATTGGTTTGTGCATATAGTTCCTAATTTACTTTTTCATATAATAATATTTATTTTTTTAACAGGCAACATTGTCATATATTTCATATAGCTGAAAAAGAAACTATTTCAAAAATAGCAATTATACTTATTCATCATCGAACAAAGAAAAACATCTTCATTATTTACAAAGCTTTCATATGTATTTAACTTATTTATTAAGAAATTATCAACAAATTTATATCACAAACAAAACTTTGCATCTTTGCAAACATATTATTCTAATCATATTTAATAGAGTCACGATTTATTTTCTCCATACAGGGTGACTGGTGAATTACTATCGATACTTGAGGACGTGATATTTGACGATCATATATGACAAAATAAAAATTAATATAACATAAATATCAATAAACTTCTAAGTAAAGTTAACCAAAAGTTATGTAATTAATTACGCATCGTGTGAACACCCTACAGATTAGGTATACACTCACACACACACATACGCGTCCGGCGGCGTGGTGTTGTATCAGCACGCCGCCGCACGCGTCCACACTTGGAACACTTGGAACACTTGGAACGTGTCAACACTTTATTTATTTATACGGAAATTTTGTCAAAAATTAAGTGCCTATTTTTTTTACATAATTCGAATGAGAATCATGTACCGAGTATTCTCCTTAAATATTGATAGTAATTCACCAGTCACCCTGTATATGTAGCTTATACATAGCCATGTAACAACAGCCTTATATCTTCACAGGCCCTTCAATAGCGTGGAGGCGCTCCAACGAGCCAAGCGTGTTGTTGAACAACAGTATGCTGTTGTCGGAGTGTTAGAAGACCTAAACTCCACGTTACTAGCCTTTGAGAGATACATACCCAGGTTCTTTACGGGCGCACTCAAAATGTACTGGGGTACGTAATGAAAATGATGATTGTATTATGTGATAGAAGAAAGTAAAGTAGAAGTTCTACATATTCCTCTATGGTCATAGAACTAACTTCCAATAATAAAGTCGTAATTTTTTTTTTCGTAGTTGTTGGTTTTGTTTTTTTTTCTTATAGGATAATATAAAGAATATTAGTAATAGTAATTACCGTATAACCATATTTTATAAATCCGAAATAATCCATATTTTTCTATTTTTCTTTTAATATAACCATTACATTTTATATTTACATATAAATTGAGAATTTAAAAATATCGCATTTACTTTTAAACGATCTTGTAAAAGGTTCGTTTGTGCAAAAGAATAAACAGTCTAAACGACAAACACATCTTTACGTAAACATTGCTATTTATTTTACAGAGGAGCTGAACACATTCAACAGAATAAATAGGAACCACTTCAAACTACCCGTCGCGGAAGCCGTCAAGCAAATCGTCCGAGCAAACTTCACCAGGGAAATAGAATTCTACGAGTTCTGCAAACAGAGACTACACTTACAACTGAAGGCGCTCAGAGACCCGACGATAGTACTACCGACGAACAAACAGACGCAATCAACACACTTATATAACAATATGGTTTAAAGACTGTTCTAACATAGAAAAACATTAAGAATTCAGTTAAAAAAAATGTGTTCAATACATACCTGTCAAAAATATATATAGCATATAAAAATGACTAGTATAATCGTCACAGATTAAATAAATTCCCACATGTATACAACCGCCTTTAAATTATATATTTATACTCTGTGCAAATAAATTGTGATGTTTTACAACATTGCGTGTATGCCGCACGGAACGGTTCTCGCAATTACTATGTCATTTGTTTTTAGCGTTATATTTATTAACGGTGTTTACAGACGCGAAATGGCCGCATAATGAAACACATGTCAATATGAGAGGTCAAATTAAATACTTTAATTAATTTAATACAAGCTATTAAATGTTTTATAAGATCTAATGATATTCGAAATTACTTATTACTTTTTTAATGTACATTACTTATTAAATTATTAGCTTATTAGTTATAAGTATATTAAGATAAATGTTATATAGAACTGTCTTCTATTTTATTTTTATTATTTATAAGCTATTCCTTTTGTATTATATTTTCTCTTCATCCTAGAATAACTGATTCGGGCGCTAATTCGCTAATAGTAATTTAAAATATCATCTAATAATTGTGATATGAATAGATGTAAAATTAATAAATTATATAAAAAATATATGTTAAAGAAAAACTGATTTTTATTTTTATAATCGTTAATATAAGTAGCAATACAAAAAATATTTTTGAATAAAGTGAAAATCTCTCTCTTTGTCAAAAGACACTTACCCCGTATGCTATAATGGAATGTGCCCGTGATTTAGGGATGTGTTGAAAAATACTTCGCCATTTTCCGATTACTGTGCAAAACTATTATTAGGAAAAAACACAATTAAATATGTTTTTCTTAGGAAGAAATGTAGAATACCTTTACCAATATTAACCAGAAAAATAGGAAAGCATTGTATACTGTAATTGTATCAAAAACCTAAAATATATACCAACTTCAGTATGTAAGCTGGATGACATCCGGAACTTCTTTAAATTTTGTCATTTCTTGAAAAAATATATTTCAAGTAAAAAAGTAGGTTAAAATGTTGAAACAATATCACTATTTACGAAAAACTTAATAACACGGTATTAAGATTAATTAAAAATAAAAAGCTTTTATAAACTTTAGGAATAAAAACTACAGTTACACTTTTCATCAGTTTTCTCTAGAATTTATCACATCTAATTATAATTTCAATAAAATATCTCATAGTTTCTTTATTTTTAAATTGTTCAACGTATAAAATAGTAATTTATCAATTTTTCAAAAAAAAACAAAGTTATAAATGTCTTAAACTCCCTATTTTTAATAATTCTTATAGTTTTATTAAAGCGATTCTTATTAGATTGAGAAGATATTTCAATAAAACATCAAGTATAAAATATTATGCAAATTTATTCGTAAATTTATTGCTAAAATAGGAGTCAAAATTAACAAACGTAGATACAGAACATTGCTTCTCCAAATTACATAGCAATATATGGCCACATTACAAAAGTTCAGGTACAAATAAACAATAATAAATATAGATTTTAATATTGATATCTAACAATAATTATAATAATAATTTAATTTCATAATCTCCAATAGTTAAAATATAGATAGGATATATTTCATTTGTCATGTTGTTCGTAAAAATATAAAATAGGTTGTTCTAAATCGATAACATTTTATAAAAATACATATATTTATTTGTGTGTATCAACTGTAACTATTACTTGTTCAAATATTATTTAAACATTTCCAAAAACATCATTAAATCTAATACAATTAAATTGATATAAAATTTTATTTCTCAATCTAATATTTCATTTACATAGTTAAAGTGAATGAAAAATAATTATATAAAATTAATAGGCATTATTTGAATATGTAAAATAATATCATTCAGAATTTACCTCTCGATATATACAAAGGAACAATAGTGGCATGTAGCGCCTGACCAAAGATAACAGTCACTCATCACGACCGATTTATTGCTTTTTATTGTCCACAGGGACTAGAATTATACTATTAAAAATTTAATAAGTCGTTATATCAAATGGCACGCGGACGAATCACTACGAAACTCGTCTTTTTAATCTAAATTCTACTCGCATATCACAAATGTTTTAATTGAAGCCTCGTATTTTATTTCCACCAATTGGGACAGTCCCATAACCTTACGGACACAGAATTGTTCCTGTGAGGACATTCCTCGATTATACGATGTGAGACCTGCCGGCTCCTCACTTTCGATCGATCGTTACCAACTGAAAAACCTTCGTCTTTCTTAGATGGTACTCAGTAGAAGGATGGATGCCAATCAACGGTCGGATGTAGCGCCATTGGGGAAGATGTAGCATGAATATTACCTAGAGCCAAGCAATCGAAACAGTAGTTAGCTCCGCTGTTGTTGTCCCAGAACTGTTGCCCCTTACATTGGAATCTGACGGCGATTTCTAATCTTTGGCCCGAAGAAATACAAGGTGCGTATAACGTGAACTGGAAGCGGTCCGAGTATCCATCGCATGAGCCCTGTACGTAGTTCGCCTGTAGGTCCGTGTATGTTTTCCAACGATTCATTGTATAGCGTATGTGTACAGTTTTGTGGAAATCTAAATTACGTACTCGGACCGAGCCACAAATAGTTACGTGGACGCCGTCACATACACGTGAACTTTCTAAGCACACGTTCTGCCTTTCTAGTTTTTCTGTAACATCGCGAGGAACTTGGAATAAAGGAACTAAGGTCAATGCCCCTAGACGGGGTGGTGGTCTCGTGGGAGGGGAGTTTTGTACGTCACAACCAGTGAGATCATCGTAAGCTGATTTTGGTATTACCGGTATTTCATCCATGAAGGTTTTCACGTCCGCCAGATCGAGTCCAAGCACGTCAGCAAATCGTACAATCTTTTTACGTCCGGGAGTACCGGGCGGCGTTTTACCAGTTTTTAATGATGAACATCTCCGTACTCGTTGTGGTCGATCATCTTCACCATCGTCCTCTGATTTAGATTCAGCGTTTAGTAATGTGGAATCGATTTCTGGAACTGACAATGAATCGTTTTCGTTGGGAGCCTCACTGGTAACTATTTCCGTGAAGCCATTACTTAAAATAGATTCCGCTTCAGTTTTATCGACAGTCTCACACTCCGACGTTGCTAACGACACTTCTACACTACATTCAGGAACATCTGTTTGCAAATTTTCTGTTTCTGTAATTGACAATACATCGATAGCATCCACTAAGTTATTTTTTAAGACAGTATCATCTTGTGAAACCTCGTCTGTTCCTTCAGAGGGATCGCTCTTAGCCGATTCGAATTCTGAGTCGCTGTCGTTTGAATTAAACTGTGAGAATAGTCGTTCCGTGTCGTAAGGCCTCAAAGGCTGTGCGCAGTCAACCTCATCGTAACTGTTCTGCCGAGCACAACCTTCAAAAGTGATAGGAGAATAGAGTGGTTTATCGACATGCCCGTTTTCCTTGGACGATGGTTGGAAGTTTATTGGAGATTCCGTATAAAATGCCGTTGAGAATTTAAATCCATTCACCCCCTTATCGGGCTGTTTGAGCATCAATTTATTTTGCTCCTTATGTTCTGGATCTGAGTCTACATCGTAAAAAGGCGGATCCTTATCTTCGTTGTGTTTGTCCGGGAACTGAACGTATTCATCTACAGGACTGGACGGACTCTCACACTCTAGCTCGAAGTCGTAGAAGGTGTCGATGTCGCGTGAATGGTTTGAGTTGTTAGGCCTGTGTGTATTATTATCCCTGCTCAGCCATGTGTTTTCCAATTCACCGTCATGCGATGCTCCCAAATTACGCAGTCTTGAATGCAAGTCGCGCGCGAACGCCGCGGCTCTTCCGCGGCAGGACATCGGCAGTAGTGACGTCAAACCGCACTGTGATCCCGCGCGATCTCCACTCATCTGCGTCTGGAATTTAATGAAAATCTATTAAAGAAAACATTCAACAATTTTAGTATGAAGCAGGCCATTTTGTTGACCAGAAAAATCTCTAGAACGGCATAACAAACCAGCCTATATGAAAGCATTTTTCAATGCATGTATTGCAGTTTTAAGATCGACGGTAGAACTTTGATCCACCAAAAACCAAATGAAATCACAACTACAAATGCGTACTACTAATCAAGTGTTTATTTATTGAAAACTTTTGCATGGCCTAATTTATTATCACTAAACATAGAAAGTATTTACAGTGAGTGTCGTGACACGACATCTGAATGTTAAATGTGAACGACCTTGATAAGGCATCAAGTGTGCCACCTCCTCACGATTGATACTCCACAAACATGCATCGTAAATATATAGAACGTTTAACATGAGATTATCTGACTCATATGTAAAAAAATGTGAATAATATAGTTTCCAAATGATAAAGTATATATTTTTTAACATTTAAGTATGTATTATCAATTTATAAACATCATATTTTTATACTTAAACGTGATATCTCACGATAAGTATTCACGTGGAATGTATTGTTTCACATGGTATCAGTATTCTTAGCACAAGTGTTCTGAACATTTTTCTGTGCCTGCTTGTTACATTGTAAATACTAAAACTTATGGCTGGATGTGTGTCTTATCGCTAAATTTTAAACAGAGCAAATAAAGCTCAAAACATCACGTTTATTTTACGAATGTAATATAAACCATTCCTCATCGAGCCGTTCTTTTTAAACGAATGAATTAAACATGAAGTACAATGGCTCTTGCATTCAGTTTTTCACTTTCAAATGTAAATGACCTCATTGTTTACGATTCCTTCCACTGAAACAATTACAGAGACCATGACCTTACTAACATATTCAGATTGGATAAAATCAAGTTCAATTACTCGACGTAGCAACAATAGAATTGTTGTGTTATTCGATGGAAGGGAATCGATTTTTCTCGTTCAATCGATTTTAGGTGCTCGTGATGTTATATATTTGTTTACATATGATAACATGTTGTCTAAACTTAAACTACTTTCGAGCCAGCAATCATGTTATTTAAAAAAAATAGATAAAAGTTTAAAAAATCTAAATAAAAACTGAAAATTAAAACAGGTTTTGAAAACCCTACATGAATGTTAAAAATAAATGAAATATGTAGTCTTTTTTTTATTTCATTAGTGGATTCATTAGCAGAGATTTACATTTGTCGTCCTGGCAATTGATTTTTTTTTCTAATTATCTGTATAATACAAAAAAATTGTAAACAAATTCAATTCCTTCAAACATTTTTCAATTGGTTTTTATTATAACGATGAAAACAAAACAACTGTAACACATTTGTTCCAAACGCGTACAATACCAAAATCGTCGCTAATTAAAGCATATTGTTTGAACGACGCAATTGTTAATTTCAAAGACATCTTCATTTCATATAAAAGCCCACATTTAAATGGAGCAACTATAAATTAAATGCAATCTGCCCACGGTCGTATCACGCCATGTGCCAAAAGATCGCTGCCAAAAGGTTTACGTCACACAAAATAATTTAGTCTCGTGCCTAATGTAATATACTTCCTGCGGATATAGATTCAATGATACAGATGAAAATTATATTTAAACTAGTTTTTGCCCGCGACTTCGTCCGCGTTAGTTTCGTCATTAGTAATATATGTAGGTATAGCTGACCAGGCGAACTCTATTCCGTCTTAGAGGCCATAAATAATCAGGTTTTTCCTGTTTCAACCAAACAGAATGATTGACATATTAGTTAGTTGTCAAATCTAATGTCAAAAAAAGCGTTTGTATGGGAAATAGAAAAGGGCTGTTTCTAGGGTTTTCCCGGCAATTATTCCAATTTTTCTCACCTTTTATACCTTCCCTGAACCTCCACGAACATTTCAAGACTAAGATAAGTCAAATCCATTCAGCTGTTCTCGAGTTTTAGCGAGACTAAGGAACAGCAATCCATTTTTATATATATAGAAGATAATATAAGTTATATTTGTTTCAAAAATAGCTTAATTGAGGACAAATTATCATAAATCTAGCAATATTACGCGCTCAAGCAATGACGTTGTTATTATGTCCCGTCAAAATTAGTTTAAAACGTTCAGGAATTGTAAATAAATAATAATTAATTTGGAAATCCCATTCATATAAAGTAAAACCACAAAATTTATAGTCATTGTTTTAAATGAATTGAGAATAGTGTCGTTTATGTTTATGTTCTTTAGTAAATCAATACTTTTATTATTTATTTAGATTTGGAACAGCCACTAAGTTTTATTGATATGTAGAAACAAAATATTTAATAAAATATTACAGATTATACTATGGATAACAACTTATAAATTATTTTTATAATTAATATGAACGAAAAAACAATATTTTTTTTGGAATAGCTTATATGTAGTAAAATTTATAGTAATATAATACTGAATTGTATAGAGAATTTGAAGGAAGTATTACTTTCGAAGACTTTTTACATAAGCTTAATGAATTAACATAAATATTCAAAACAGGAAATGCAGACTGCATTCCTGTACCAGGCAGGATTTCAACGCTAATACGGTAGTGAGTTTTTTATATATGAAAACTATACAACAATCTATAATACAAGGAAAACATTGAACAAAAATAAATTACTTTCACAATATAAGTATCTCACGAATTTTCTTTTCAATCACTATTTTTGTTTTCATAAATCAACTTATTATTACGTAGTTTGAATTAAAATTGAGTAGTGAACCACGGCTTTCTTTTTACTAACAAATTACTACAATGAATTTAGGTGTTTCTGGGCAATTAAGTTAGAATTTAAAAAAATTGCATAAGAATTAGGACAGCTTAAGCAAACTGCTGCACTAAAAGAAGTATAACGGATAGATAAATTTTCATTCATTTAAAATACTTGTCTTTTTATAAGGGTCGACATTTAAAAAATCTATTTTCATAAACGCAATGCTATCAAACGATCTCACGTTATCCAAACAAACCAACCCGTTCCTTGAGGTCAACAAACTCAAAATGTATTGACAAATACTATGCTAAAACGTTTAATATATTTTTGACAGACAATATATTTATATATAAAGTCAAACAAAGAAATTTCATTTCTTTTTTTAGTTAGGACATATTTTTCTTCCAACTATTTACTAACAACACGTAACTAACATTCCACGCGAATTATGATAGATTAAGATACAAGATAGCATTCATCATTATAAAAAAAAACTCAATGAAGTGGGGCGATAAGTCGGTCAATGAACCCGTCGATAAGAGCCGCGAATGCTAAAGATATTGGCAAATTTATATCGCATGAGTCCTATTTTCTTCTACAAACGACCTAAGTACATACTGTTATACAACTTTTGTTTACAAAGTGAAAACGACCTTAAGTGTACCCCTTATCTGTTCTGATTGAAGTGTTATGAATATATGTTATTATAAAATAACTATATCCCTTGTGTTATTGTTTTCAATACAATAACTGTTATATCGTATGTAAATAATAACTTTCATTTCTTTATACGGAGCTCTAAATTAACTTATATATATGAAGTGCTTCAATGCTGATTAATATGTAATGTTGGTATGAATTACTTTAACGATAATGATGTTTTTATTGTATGTTATTAAAATATATTAAGTAATATAAAGATTTTAAATATGTATGCTTTTCAGCACTTTTTCGACAAACTATTTTGTATTTAATATATGCCCATCGTTATAAATTGTACCTTAAATTAATAAGTTTCAAACAAACAGGAAAATTTTATCGTTTGTAGCCCTTATCATCCCAAAATATACTTAACGGTGAAATAAAAATTAAAAAGTCACAGTCAGTGCCAAGCACGTGGTCATTAGTTATTTTTGATCACACGAAGCGTCTGGATGCGTCTAAAAACTATTTCTGAACATATTTGTATCTTAAAATAATCCAAAATGATACTAGACTACAAAGTCATTGCTTGAGAATGTCATGTTTGTTAATGCAATCACGAATATAGTCATATACTCCTAGGAGAATTATTTGATATGCATACTCCTTTAATAAGACCAAATAAGTAAAAAAGTTTGCAATTTTTTTATATAAAAAATTTTTGCTCCATTTTCTGATCGAATACAAACTGAAACAAATACAAATACTATTGTAATTACAACGCCAATTCATGTATAGAAAGTGTCAACATGACGTTTGCTTCGCTTAAAACAATAAGAATTCAAGCTACACTAGCAGAATATAATGTGCACGTTTTAACAAGGATGAAGGCCACATTTAAAACAGCTAGGAAACCAAGAATTCAGGCTGAAACATAGAAAAATAAAGAATTTATTTAGCTCTTGACATATACAAAATCATTAGTATCGAAAGACATGGATTCGCTTTAAGAGTGAGATAAATTGATCATCTACAAATAGAATATTAGGCGATACAACTTTTAAGACGCCATATTGGCAAATGATGTTCAATATATGTTTACTTTGACACAAGTATTCTAGAAATATCCTTGTAACAATAGTGGAAAAACAGATGTATTAATAAGAAGGATAATACTTGAAGTGACTGCTAATATATTTCTTACGAAAAAAACAGGAAAAGTAATGTATATAATAGTCCCTACTTAAGATAATATACGTCATGTTTTAATACAACTATTACTTTACATACGTTAGGAATGCCAAAAATGTGAAGATGTATCAATTCAAATATTCTATGTGAATGTAAACAGTAAATCCGTTTTTACTGCAAATATACTCTATGTAATTAGAATCCTAGTTATAGAAAAGGCTGAAATAAATTTAATATCTAAACGCAGAAGTAAGTAATGTACAAATCATGTGATTATTCTAATTCTGGCTAGAAATACATAACACTAGAAGTAATTCCACGCCTTGGCATTGTTATGAAGTATTAGCTATACATAATACAGCCGATCTTGACAAACATGACCGCTAGTTGACCTCTGAGCTGACTATATGGAGAACACATTCGGCGTTGTTACTAAATAAAAAGATCGTTCGATGTTATTTAAGATTATACACTTTTATAACATGAGATAATGTGTTTACAAATGTTTGAAAGCCTTTATATATTAGCTAAATTAACGTCATCGTAACTAAAATATACAAAAAACAGTAGGTATTACAGTATTTGTCGACATTTTTAAGCGGTACTTTTAGGTATTTTCAACTTTGTTTATTTCGGACATTTGAATGTCAATTGATGACATTGTATAGTGACAGGTGAATTAAATTCGAAATTAATATTCGTATGGAAATTTAATGGAAATGAAGATACCTTATAATGTAAAATAAAATGTCTATATACCTAAGCCATTTCTTTTTTCAACCAAGTAACGTCAAAATAAATAACCAAATTTTAATATAAATATCTATCCTTTGAAATAAATGTACATATAAATTTTATGTTTATATCTCCACGAACGTGCAATTGAGATAAAAAGCAAACGTTTCAGAAATATTGTAAAAAAAATATATTTAGCTTTAAAATAACGCAAACGCTGTTTGTTTAAAAATACAATATAGATTATATTGTACATTAAAAATAACGCAGTTATATTTTGTTTTTAAATCGAAATGTTTTAGTTTAGGACATTGCCATACGAATATAAAAAAGAAGGACATTTATATAGCCTTGAAGATAACGAAAAGTAAGATAAAATTCTATAAACATATCAAATTAAATGGGACAAGATACAAAAGATCATTAAACGTAAATGGTTACAAAAAGAAAAAGAAATCGTGAATTTCACATTATTTAATTATTATCTGCAGGTCTTACAAATGCAATAAGGAATTCCAACGCCAAATACGATGTAATAAAATGTATTATGCATATTTATTGTAAAAATACATAATAATTAGCGTGCTTTAAATTCTTACACCTTTTAGACACTCGGTAACTTGGCAATTCCCACTAAAACCATGACAAGCTGGTTAAATAGCATAATTTTTATTATATATAATCAAAGTAATGGGAGGACGTACATACAGCAGGTTTACCATAAGTCTTATTTTCACAGTTCACACTTTAAACGAGCGTTGCTAGTTCTTTACTCCCAAAGTTAGGCATATCATACCTAGAGTAACGTAGTTTTAATATTAAACTTTAAAGTCTCCGTATCTAGTATGGTAATGGAAACTCGTGGTACGGATATTAATATTTTATATATATCAGAATGATATTTAAGATTTATGAGAGTGAATGTGTACATTCAAATGATACTAAGGTTTTCAAATATTACGCGATTTCAATGTTATGTATGTATATCCCGACGTTTTGGCTTTACTTGTCATCACGGTCAGAGGAAATCATGTAGATATTGAGTATAAAAAATGTTTTGTAGGCGAAAAACTAAAAAAAAAAAAAAAAAAAAACTAGGTTAATTTAAATGTATAGCACAAGTTTAAGTTAGAATAGGACTATGAAAATATTAGATTTTGGGAATAGTACCTATGCTAAGCTCTTGGACTATTCATATTCATATTGATAGTTATAAAAATTAAGATTCCAGTAGATTGACTATTTGTAATAAAAAAATATCTAAAATAGTTAAGAAGTGGAACATTTTTGATTCGAAATAAAAAGAACTTCTGCATCGTGCGTCAAACAGAATTTACATGAACTAAAATATATCTTTAATTACATGATATATATGTAGTAATTACATAAGAAATGTGTGCATCACGCAGCGAGCTGGTGGCGTAATAAAATTTGGCTTTATACATGTCCGGAGAAAATCTATTTTTATTCTAATTTTATGAACCATTTCCCACGAGAACTACGTCAATTGAACACCAAACATATCAAATAACACATTAATATCTACTTATATGAAGAAACACATTTTTTAGAAAACTCTTATCTATTCTACAAGTTCTAGGACTTATCTTGAAATTTTAATCTCTATATCATGGGTGAAATTTTTTCTACTGATAATGAATAACTTTAAATGAATTTGTTAGGAGAATATTTTATAAATATTTTTTATTAATTATACAAAAACACATAGAAATCTCATTTTCTTTTATTTATACAAAATAAAAAATTGGAAAGTACATCAAATGTTTTTATAGAGTTGACCAAAATATTTCGAGTGTTCAATTTATCTATACGTCGAGTTGAGTTGACTCACACAAATTTGGCAGTAATCCTCATGACGTGACCAGTTATCACATGACCCACGATGAAATAATAATAAAAAAAATAGCATTATATTCCTAAAATATATTTTCATAAGATTTCAAAAGATATTTTCCAAGGAATGGAATCTGCACGAAATGAACGTAAAAATAAAAAGCAATGTAACTAACAACGGCAATTTAAAAATGGCGTCTCTCGTCTTCATTTCAATGTACATGCATTATTTATTATTATTTCAAATACTTAAATGGAAACTTTAGTTAAATAGCTAATACCTGTCATGAAGCAATTTCGTTTAATATATTTCCATGAAACGTTTATATGGTTTGGTGTAAGCTGTTATTAAGGTATTCTTATAAAGGCTAGAATACACTTACTTGTGCCATCTCTATTTGTAAGCAGCTTGTCATGTAAAGCGTGTACACATAACCTAACTCATAACTGAAGCACGGATTTTAATCGCCATTTTAACATTTTGAAGAAATTGTTTAAGCAGTTATAGACACGCTATTTTTGGTAATATCAATAGTACACGCATAATGCGAGTCACGACGATATTTTTTTGGTAAAAAAAAACCGTATACATAGTATCATATTTTTATATAAAATTAAAAATTTTGTAATAAATTCGAAAAAAAATTGTCTCAGACTTAATACCGTATTAAAAAAAAGTTTTTATTTAAATTTTTATCTAAAAGTAAGGGCAATCCTGAAAGCGGAGCCGATAAAGACATTGTTATTAAAAACATATTCTTGGAGACATCAGTTATTTTGGAAACATGCAGTGTAAAGACAAAACAAGTGTATTATAATGATCGTTCCGATCTGACCTTCAGATACAGAAATAGTTATCCAATGTGAGGTCAAAGACAATTATTTTAATAAGCTAAATATACACAGCTATCTTCATGTCATAATTTATGTTCACTCTTGTTTTTGCATTACCAAGTATACGATGCAAACATTTCAAATAAGGGAGCACCCAGTAAGGATATGTCATTTTTCGTTCCCGCGCAAATGTTTTTTTTTTTATTAAACTGCTATAATCCCATTCTATTGTATTTATATTTCATAAAAAAAAGTATACAAACTTTTTTTTATTTAAAAATGTATGTAAACTAGTTATGGAAAGTTGTTATTATGTTTACGCCTATAAGTTATTAAGACCACACGGATAAATGATTACACGAAGGAAAATAGCACAAGAAACTTCATTAGCATAGCAAAACAAAATCTCCCAAGTCATTACTTGGCATAATTCAACCGGCTATCTATTGAATAATATTAAAATTATTGTCTGTGACATATTTTCGTAATCTACATGATTATTTACTTATTTATAAATACCCTGATATATGTGCATAATTGGTCGAATTGATAAAATATATTATTATTATTAAAATCTTCAGAACAACTTCAAAGAGATCAAGTTAAAAATGCAATTAATATTAGTATAATAGATATATATACGTCTTCTTATACTTCTTTTATATATATAAGATGGCGACAAAAAATGTAATCCCATAAACGTTAGCATTGGCCATAAATTAAATCGGCCTTCAGGACCCTAGAGAGAGTCTTTTTTATCGTAATTAGGCGTTGGCCAACAAGCCTACAGGCTTTGTAGGTAGGCTTTAATCATAAACTGGCTTGAGGCAGATGTAGTTAACTTTTTATTCATAGACTATTTCCAGGCATATCATAGATTACAGATAGCTTGATAGCTATAACTTGTTAAGCTATGGATACATACTTTTCATTTTAATATACTTCTAGAAAAATCTACATTATTAAGTGCCAATCAAGAGAAAGGTCCAGTAATCTTGTACAATGGTGTTACTAGCTGTAGTTGAGCGATAACAGTAGTTTCCTAAGGCTAGTGTACACGATAAAAACACGTTATCACCACCGACACACAGATCCCAGTTCCACAGCATTATCATTATAATATGATACCACTTTCTACTCGTACATAAAAATAAGACTATAAAATTAATATTAATCATATTATATCTAAATAATAACAAAATTATGTATTTTTTGTCATAACGATGTTTTATATTGTTCATTTATAATTTTTTTAAAAAACTGTCAAGCGTTATTTGACTTATTGAATTTTAAAACGATTTAATTTTGACGAAAAACCTTGTAAATTAGATTTCCAAGGTTCCGAAGAGATCACATAACTTTTTTGAAATTAAATCTTGGCAACGTTAATATATGCGAATTTGCAGAGAAGACGATATTTTTTAAATAGATAGTATTTATTCAATTACCTTTTTCATAAGCACCGGCATTTGATGTTCCAATGACATAGCCAGATTTGGAGAATTCATGAACACCTCACCATGCACCAACTTTGTTAAAACACTATAATAAAAAGTACACACCAACAATATACCTATATCATTATAGTCTAACACATATAAAAACTTCTTTTGTACTGGCTGAATAGAATTAAACTTTTTAATTAATCGAGTCTATTTATATGCGGGTAGGTTTTGAATTTGGAACGACAGTCGAGCACGGCCACCCGCCGCCGGCGCTTCAGACGAATGAGCTGTCAGCGGCGAGACTGCGGCCGCGCATAGAAAACTAATTCTAGACATGCGATCAATCTCACCACCTCATTATTTGTTTACAACTAATATATAGATAATCCGTCGATTCCGTCGATACTGACCAATATGAGAGTAACATAGATTTCACGTGTGGCCCGCGTGATGTTCATGACCCGATGCGTGATACGGCGCCCTATAGGCCGTCGCATAGATGAAGGTCAATTTGTTTAATTATGTCAAAAATCAAGTTTCTTAAGCTACATATATCTTCCTTAAACTTTGTTAGGAAATGCTGCTATGCATATTATGATTTTTACAAAACATATTTTTATGTGTTCTGTCTAAATTCCACTATCTTATAAATTTTGCATAAAAAATTTTATATTTTTGATATTAATAACCGATTTAAAACAACGAATCCAATGTAGGGATTGAAAGAAAACAATCAACCGACAATAATATTCTAGTTCAACTTTCGAATTTTGTCATTATTAATAGAAATCTCCGTATTGTTAATATTAATATATAAAAATATATACAACATATAATATTTTATAATATGTATTTAATATTAATATTCATAAATATAATGTATTAAAATAGTCAAATCACAAACTTAAAATTTTGTCGTCACCAAATTCTATATTAATTTTTACACGTGTTAAAACATAACACATAATACAAAACATATTTGTTTCTAAACTAATTAACGAACTAATTGTTTATGTATATTAATTAATTATTTAATAAACAACACCTTCATTTACTTTCTAATTGGTTCCATATAGTGATATCTCGTGTCATTTAAAACAATTTATATTACAAAACATGATCATTGTAAGCAAACAAATCTATAATAAGAAATTTTGTATTAACATATATTCCGTATAATTTAAAATTACACCATTTTATAATAATAATAAAAATCATAAATTTTAACCAAAAAAAAAATGCTGTCATTCTGACGTTTTGTTATAACAAAGTCTTAGTTTTAAATTCCGGTAAAGGCACGTTCAAAAACTCCCCTTTGTTACGTCTGAATAGAAATTTTAAAAATATGTATTCGGTTACCTTATTCTGTAACGGAAATGTACCTTTTTTATCAAGCCAAATATTTTGTAAGACAATCAATTTTATGACGTTATTTATTTCATATAATTGGCTTAAAAACTACGCTGTTGCAATACCGCCATACATTTAAATTGTACTGTATGTTATTTTAATCTAAAACATTATATAACAATATGGTTTATGTAAAATCTATTACATTGTATATATATTAAATATAAACATCAAAGACTCTTTGTATAAATTCTCTATTTTATAATGAAATTATTTGATGAAGCAACCTCAATATAACAAATTATAATGCAAATAAAATTTCAAATCGTTGAGATCGTCTGGTAACACTGTATGGTGAAGATTCTTTTAAAACTATTTTATAGTTTACAAAAATACACAAGAAGTTTTTAAAACACGCTAATTCGGAAATAAAATTTGTATTTCATATTTTCGTCTTAAAATACATTTTTAAGACTCATTTATTGAAACAGACACAATGTCTATGAAACTCAAAATAATGTTTGTGAATTATGGTACTTGTTTTGGGTTCGATGGGAAATAATATTGAAACTTCCGCCATTGATAGTTTTTAAACTATAATAATAATTGGTTAATGGTTAACAAATTATTTTTAATGTTATTTATTTATCAGTAAAAATAAAACAAAATAAATTTCCTTTTACCTGTAGCGCTATGGATACAAGGATATTAGCACATGTAAATAAATTCAGATATAATGTTTACAGCTATTCGCTAGTAAGTTAACTTTTAGCTTTTATTATTCTAATATTTTACAAGAGGAATTTCGAAAGGTCCTATTTCATATTAAATAATGCTTCTATTACAAACTACTGGTGTAATATATTTTGCATTAACCGCTTTAAGGTATTAGAACTGTCACTGTCTATCTTATGTCACTGTCAAGATAACTTACTTGTGGTTCAAACAAAAACTATTATGATAAATTCACATAAAATACAATATGAAACTATTTAAATATGTACTTAAATTTTTATTAAAATATTTTTTTATGTTTCACTTAATATATAATATTAATATTAGGGAATCTATTGTTTTCATTCTCCGGTATAAACCAACCGTTTTTTTATGATATTTAAATTTGAGTTATAGAATGTTTATAGAGAAAAAATCTAACAAATAATTGCATATATATTTTATTTATCGTAATTTCGCAGTTTTTCATCTATTCTATTAATTAACAGTGGTAACCCTGTTCGTGAGGAATGTCGCGGTCAAACCGGTATCCTGTCAGCCAGTAGAGCTATATACATAGGGTGGATGCCAATATCTTGTTTCTTACAAATCCCGTTTTACATAACACAAATAGGTACTTTAATTATCATCATAATGTTGGAATATAACGGTGATACATAATATATTATTTATTTTTATTTTATCGATCAAATATATATAATCTCATGGTTAAATCGTGATATTTTTACTCTGTATCTAATACTGTTGATTTGAAAGTTAGATGAATCTATGTATTTTTATCCTGTCAGAACTTATAGTACAGAAAGGTTCAGTTTCTGTTTTTATAATCTACATATATACATACATATAAACGCTACAATTTATAGTCGTTATATTCAATACTAGTTAGTTATAAATATCTGATAGCATCTATATATTCTTTCAATTCTGTAGCTTGAGGAAAATTAAATGCATTTCTCCTAGTAATAAATAAATGTGAAAGTTTGTAAGGATATATGGATATTAGAAGACAGGTGACACGGTTCATAAAATGGCTGCCGGTTTGATACCATAGATACTGCTTAAGCTTGTACCTTTCTCTGAGCGTCATATTATCATATACTTCCCTATATTTATACATTTATGTCGGCTCAGACTGTTAGTTTTAAGTTAGCATAAGGTTCATCAATCATTCTCATCATCACCCTTTGCACTTGGGAGCTGGAGGGCCGCTGTATCAAATCGCAAAAGCCCTCCAGCCCCTCGGGATCTTCATCGTTTCATCATATAGTTCTAAGTCTTTTAAACATCTATTACTTTTACAAACATATGTTAATGTGTCTACTTTTTATTTCTCTTGTGACTTTTACTCCCTGTGTACATCTATTTACATCTTACCCTTAAACAATAAATTTAGATAAAAAAAAAATATATCATATATAAATCCAGACGAAGTCGCGGCAAAAATATACACTTTATATAATCCTATAACAAAGAAAACCTTAATTAACAAACTTCAGTTTGACCAAACATATTGTATGTCATTAGTAATTAGGTACTTATAAGTAAAAATATACTTCAAAACAATATATAAACACAAGATTTATAAACTAAATCTTATAGATAATTAGATAATTAATGACGGTAACCAATAATAATACTGAATGAAAGGATTTACTGATTACTGATTTACTGATTTTTTTATTCTGTAACAGGAAAACTGATGTACATCTTTATACGAGTATATATAATTCTTCTGTGAGTGTGTATGTCACTGAACTTCTCTCAAACGACTGGACCGATTTTGATGAATTTTTTTGTGTGTGTTCAAGGGGATCTGGGAATGGTTTAGATTCACAATTTTGTCCGCTGGACAATGTTTTTTTAATTAATTTTTAATTTATTAGTAGTTGTTGATACAAACGTTTTTTTGACATTAGTTTTGACGACTAACTAATATGTCAATCATTCTGTCGCACTTCAAAACACGGAGATTTATGGCTTTAATAGGTAAACTCCAAAAATATAAATAAAAAAACGTAACAGATATTTCTTGATTATAGGGCGATACGAAGTTCGCCGGGTCTTCTAGTATATCAATATAATTCGAGATCACCTATAGTTTTATTTCTTACATTAAGAGTAACAAACAAAACAACCTTATTTTTAGATTCCGTTGATTGGGAAGTTTGAACATTTACTTGCCAAAAACTTAGATATTAAAAAAAATACTCAGAAAGTAAATTTAAAATTCTGTATTTCTTTTCGGAGCCAAACATCTGCAGCTTTATGTGTATAAGATAAAAATCATGTAAGAAAGCTTATTTTTAAATAAGTTCCACATGTCATTAGTTTATCTGTGGACAGATTATACAAAAATCTTCAATCAAGTCTATTTAATTGCATACAAGCATTAAAACACCATCAAATATATCGTTTCAAATAATCTGAACGAATAATAATACTTTTAATTCTTTTTCTATGATTGCATGTTTCCCATAAGGAAATAATCAAATCAAATCAAAATAATCAATTATTTCTGGTCGAGGTCAATGCCCTCAGGTGAGTTTAAGATTCGCAATACTAACAATTTATGTTGCATGCATGCATCTATGCTTTACACGAGCTAGATTTGTTTACTCCATTATACAAATTCAATTAATAGATGCAACGTATAATTGGATTTATTATATGTAACAACAAATACTTGATTTTTGTTATGTAATTACTTACTAAATGACTTTTTTCCTCATATTAAGATAGTAATAGAATAGTTTTTTAAAAATTTTTTTTGATTCTTAAATTAAAAGAGGCAAATAATATATTTTTTAAACTAGTAATATATCGGTGATATACTCGTGTATATGTAATTAACCTTTTTGTTTTACATTTGTAATATCTTCATAGTAATGTCAGTGGTGGCCTAGTGGTTAAAGGGCCCGCCTCTCGTCGTCGCGGGCGCGGGTTCGATCCTGGCCCGGGCAAGTACCAATGTGATTTTTTCGAGTCATATGTACTTT